AAAAAAAAAAAAAAAAAAAAGCATTTCCCTTAAAATATTTCTGGGTTGGAGTCGTCTGCCTTGATGAATTCTGCACATGAATCAACCTCTTTGTAACCTATGTTACAGTAAGAATTTTAGGAATTTCCTTTATTAGGACCCGTTAGTATACTGTAGCCAGTGAGCGAGCTGCACAGATTTCTAGGTAAAGCAGCTTGAAATTTCATAGCACATGCCATAGCGTTCTGTACACTTTCTCTTCAGTAAGCAAAGTTTAAATATCCTGAAATTGGCCTCTTGTCATTCTCTTGTGAATGTTATGCCACCGTCAACGAATTCACTGTTTGCTGTGGTGGGGGGTGGAAAACAATGAGTTGATTTTTAAACCTTATTTTCAGGTTCGTCAGCTTCCACTGATGGCATGTTGAAGTTCAGTGAACAGCAGCTGAGTGGGTGTGTGACTGGAAGGGGACTGCTCTAAAAGCTGGGCTTGCAGCAACATGGGCCAGTGTGTCACTAAGTGCAAGAACCCTTCTTCCACCCTTGGCAGCAAGAATGGAGAGAGGGAGTCCAGCAGCAAGTCACACAGCAAAAAAAGTGCAGTCCACAAGGAAGAACATCCCTCAGTATGTGGGAAATCCTCTGGGGATATACTTGTCAACGGGACAAAGAAAATGGATGCTGCTGTAGAGTCTAGTCAACCTCCGACTTTCTCTGGTGATGCAAAGAAAGAGCCTGTTTCTGGTGCAGAAGAGTCTTCACTCCAAAGGATCGGGGAGTTATTTAGGAGATATAAGGATGAACGTGAAGATGCCATCCTGGAAGAAGGCATGGAACGTTTTTGCAATGACCTCTGTGTTGACCCCACTGAATTTAAAGTGCTAGTCTTGGCTTGGAAGTTCCAGGCAGCTACCATGTGCAAATTTACAAGGTTAGTTCCTATGGCACTTCACATGTTCAAATGTATCTGATCTTGTATGTGCTAGAGCAAAGCCCCTTTGGCCTTCTTTGCCCTTGCCTTTTGCCAGTTAAAATGTGAACAAAGGTGTTCTTGGCAGTGGCAAAAAAGTGGCATTGTCTTGAACGTACCTCTGTGATTGGAGGCATGCTGTGCTATAGCAGTAGACCTTCTGAAAAGTACGTTGGATATATCTGACGGTCAGTTTTTACTATCTCCGGCAGCATCCTGATAGCAATGTTGGGCATTGAAACTAATTTCTACACTTTAATACAAATAAGAGATGTGTTATGTCTTTAACCTGCCACTGACTAACCATTACGGTATTTGTCATTGTATTCTGCTTATCAGAAGATAGTGATCTCATTTTCTAAGCGAGACTGAGGCTGTCAGTGTTTCTTGGAATTTAATTTGCAAAAACGCCAGTAATTTGGGTAAAACATTTTTGTTGTTTACATTTTCATGTAGCAGCAGTAATACTCTTCAAAACTGTGTATACAGCCATGCCGGAACAACCCTTCTCTGGGGTGGATGGTGGCAGTCAACAGATTTTATAACAAACTTGAGTGTTGGAGAGAGCGGAAGCTCCCCCAAGGGCATGGGACAGATTCCTAATTACAGAAAAAAAGATGAAGCTCATTCCCCCCCCCCCCCCCCTTCCCCCCCCCCCCCCATG